CCTCCTGGCCAGCGGGCGGACGCCGGGTGCCGGAGCCGGTGTGCAGAGCTGGGCGCTAGTCCCCCGCAATCGCGCTCCATTCAAGTTCCGAGATGCAGGTGGGAGAGGGTTCTGCGAGGGAACAGCTGGGGGCTCTGCAGTGGCGGGAGCTTCGCAGCGCCGGACCGGCTGCACGCGCTGATTGCAGTCCGAGTCTAGGAGGGGGACCAGAGGGCTGGGGGCGCGGCTGGTGCGGGACGCAGGTCTGAGTGTGAGTCCCGTCTTCCCCCTTTCCCACCTTCGATCCGTGGGAAGTCATGTAACCAACCACCTGCAGCCTCGGTTTCTTCATTGGCAAAATGGGCGCTTGAATAGGGACGACTGTGTGGGGACTGGTGAGACGGTGCACAGAAAAGCAAACACTTTGCGAGGTGAGCCCGGCTCGGACTAGGAAGGTGCCCTCTGGCAAGATCTTCCTTGGTGTGCAGGGCCCCCTGCCTGGAGCGCCCCACCTGGCCCACCTGCAGGCCTGGCCTAGGTGATGAGGAGGCAGTTGGGCATTTCATTGGCGCTTTCTCCGCAGCACGGGGTGGTGGGTGGGTGTGTGTGCACGGTCTGCCACTAAGTCCCAGATGCTCCCATGGTCCTTGCCTGGATAAGGGTCGCCCTTGTATTTGGCCCATTTATGGGCGGCCCTGCTGCTCCCCAGGCACTGTAGAGCTGGGGTGGGAGCCTTGGGATAGGGAGGGAGATGCTTATTTACTTTCTAGTCAGAACTATCTGACTCCTCTGCTTTTTCTATTTGTGTTGAGAGAGGCTTGGCCTCTGGTGACTCATTATCACTCTAGACCCAAAGCTTCCCTACCCCCACAATTGAGGTGAGAACTGAGAGGAAGCCTTGACTCTGGGGGACCTGGGACCTGGAACCTGGGACCATGCTGTGAGCTTGCTCCCTGCTCCCTCCACCCCACCTTTCTTGCCCTCTCTTCACTTCTCTCATAATTCAGATTGTCTGGTTGATGCTGCAGTTGCCGTGGCACCATATTGCCCTTTGTCCCTTAAACAGAGGTTGCTAAGATGCCGTTATGGAGCTCCTGGTTGTGAAGGGGGATGGTTGGCACTTCCTGTCCCGTTGGTGGGTGGTTGTGAGAAGGAAGGAGATAGCTAAGGACAGGAAGGTTGAGCTCTGTCAGGTCCTCAGTCAGCTGATGACGTTTAGTCCCACGGTTACTGTCCTCAATGTCTCCATTATTCCATATATAACGTGGCCACCTTGTCTCGGGAGGTTCTCTCCGAGCCACCACCTGACCTCATTTCACGGCAGTATGAATGGTCATTTCTCTGTGGAGCTGAGCCCTTCTCCTGCCCACTGTGTCCTTGAGGTCTCTGGTGGCAAACACTACTAGTAAAAGGCAAAGATGCCTGTTTACTTTAGCCAGCACTCTGGGAACCCTTATGCAGCAAGGATCAAACAACTAGGCTGTTAGATTATTTTTATATATGAAAATTTCACTTTATGACAGCATATTTTAGTGTATTATTATATTGCACAGGACGAAACATTTGCACACTGCCAACCATGGTAAGCTTTTTCGTTTGTCTTTTTTTATCTGAAGAGAACTTTCTGCATGAAGAGGAAAATACTGTCCCTTCATTCTGTGGATGCTGATTTCTGAATCTTCCAGGGTGTGAGAAACAGTCTTGGGTTTTTTGGAGGCCTCAATGTAAGCCAGGGTGGGGACTCTGGAGGATTTCGAGTCTAAGGCAGAACCACCCTCCATTTCACTGAGTGCTATTTAGAAGCAAGCACAGTAGAAATTACAGGGAGACAGGGCTTATTCAATACTAGAGGCCTGGTGCACGAAATTTGTGCACTCAGGGAGGGGTGTCCCTTAGCCTGGCTTGTGCCCTCTTCTAGTCTGGGAACCCTCTTGCAGTCCGTTGCGCTCGCCAGCCGTGAGCCCGACTTCTGGCTGAGCAGCACTTCCTCTGAGGGAGCGCACTGACCACCAGGGGGCAGCTCCTGTGTTGAGCATCTGCCCCCTGGTGGTCAGTGCACATCATAGCGACCGGTCATTCTGCTGTTCGGTGGATTTGCACATTAGCCTCTTATTATATAGGATGGTGATGAGACGTCACCTGGAGCTGCCTAGAGGTGGAAAGTTCTGCCTGTGAGGGTGGTGCAGCAACCCCTTCCTGCAACTGTCAGGTAGTGGAGACTTCAGAATCCACCTTCCTTGTCTGCACAGATCTCACCTCGCTAAGTGTTTGTTTTTCTGTGCATCTTCTCACCAGTCCCACCACAGCCATCGCTTTTCAAATGCCCATTTGGCCAAAGAAGAAACTGAAGCTCCGGGTGGTTAATGACTTCCAAGGGTGGGAAATTATACATATATTTTTTGGATTTTTAACTATGTGAATGTATTGGCTATTCAGAAAAGTAATTTAAGGTCCTGGCCGAGTGGCTCAGTTGATTGGAGCATCCTTCCATACACCACAAGGTTGTGGGTTCCAGTCCCAGTCAAGGCACATACCCAGGTTGCAGGTTCGATCCCTGGTTGGGGCTTGTATGGGAGGCAACCAATTGATGTTTCTCTCTCACATCAATGTTTTTCTCTTTCTCTTCCTCTCTCTCTAAAATCAATAAAAACATGTCCTCGGGTGAGGATTGAAAAAAAAAGTAATTAAGAAAAAATAGGAAATGAAATAATTTTGCTGTTCCTTCCCAAAAAGAAGGGAAGCCAGATGGAGCACTTCCTTCTGGCTAACCTTGAAGGTTAATTAACTGTTAATTCCCTTCCCATGCTGTGTTTCTGTGTCTTGACAAGTAAGACTTTGGGAGGGACTCATTCATTCATTCATTCATTCATTTGTTCATTCTCTAGATTGAGTGGCTTGCTATGCACCAGGATACACTAAGTGCTGGCTCAATAAGACAGACTTGGCAATTCCCTCCCTGTAGTTAGACCTTTCGGCCTCTCCAACATGGTCCACAGTGCTATGATAATGTCAGGCAGAAACTGTGTAGCATGAACAGAATGGCTGGTGGTGGCTGAGACTGGCCCGGGCTGCAGCTGGCACTGCCCTTTCCAGCTGGCAGGTGGGATGAAATGTAAGCACTGCGTTCATGCTCATGTCTCTTCTTGGCCGGTTCCAGGGTGATGGTGGTGGTGGTTGGGGAACAGAGTTGGATCCTCGGCTAAGCTGCTGGAAGAAGTAGGTTTTCAGGTTGGTTGGAGTAAGGAGAAGGAAATGTCCTTGCCTGAAACATGAAGGAAATTTGTGAGAACAAAAGGGGGCAGGAAAAATGAGACTCTGGGAGAAAGGTCATGAAGGGGGTGATTAAAACTGGAAACTAGCCCTGGCCTGTGTTGCTCAGTAGTTAAGGCATTATCCCGTTGCAAGTTTGATTCCCACTCAGGGCACATACCCAGGTTGTGAGTTTGGTACCGGTTGGGGCTCAGACAGGGGGCAACCGATCCATGTTTCTCTCTCTCTTTCCCTTCCTCTCTCTGTAGAATCAATGAAAAACAAAACAAAAACAAACACATATAAAAACATATCTTCAGGTGAGGATTTAAAAAAAAAAAAGCTGGAGCCCTAGCCAGTTTGCTCAGTGGATGGAGGGTTGGCCTGTGGACCAAAGGGTCCTGGTCAAGCGCATGTACCTCGTTTGCAGGCTCTGCCCTGGCCCGGGTCCTGGTCGAGGCCCATACAGGAGGCAACCAGTCGATATGTGTTTCTCTCACATCGATACTTCTCTCTGACTTTCCCTCTCTTTTCCACTCTCCCTAAAAATCAATAAAAAAATATCTTCAGGTGGAGATTAATTTTTAAAAAAAGCTGAAACTTGACCAGCTCCACTCACCACCACCCGCCAAGGGCACATGTCCAGGTTGCAGGCTTGATCTCCAGTGTGGGGTGTGCAGGAGGCAGCCGATTGATTCTCTTTCATCATTGATGTTTCTATCACTCTCTCATTCTCCCTTCCTCTCTAAAATTAATAAAAATATATTTTTTAAAAGCTGGAAACTAGTTGTGAAGGGAAGTTGAGGCAGTTTCTCTAAGAGAGGAGAGCTTTAAAAATAAGATAAGTGGTGATTTTTCAGGTCATTTAGGTGTGGCTCTGCTCAGAGATTGGGGGTTTTCAATAAATTCTTGATGTCCCTTTTCAGGTCAAGAAACCTATAAAAATGTCTTCAGATAGCAGCTGAATACTTGGGGATGTCCAAGTATTCTTGCACATCCCCACCTTTGGAAGGGTCAGGAAACTAGCAGGTGGAGGTTCTAACTAAATAACAATAAGATAGCAAACTAACACTTACTGAGCACCTTCCAAGTCCTAAGTGCTGTGCTAAGTGCCTTATATGTGTTCATTTGTCCTCACAACTGCCCTCTGATGTGGCTGGTGTTATTTCCATGGTAAGGCTTAGAAAGGTTGTGTAACTTTTCTAAGTTCCCTCATCAACCTGGGTGCTAACTAGAGCTGGGACTTTGATGTCTGAATTTGGGCTTTCAGCATAGACCACAATGATATGTATGTCAGGCAGAAACCATATAGGATGAAATGTCACATTATGAACCAGAAACTTTTCTCACGAGAATCAAGTAGAAGGACAGACATAGATGCCTGACTCATCTGAATCATTGAGAGATGAATGCAGACAGACCCAGATGGGCCTGCACATGAAGATGGCTGGCCTCTGCTTCTTTTGAGGTCACTCAGACACAGCTGTCAGGTGCTGAGCACATAGCTCCTGACGGGTGTTGTGGGGTTGATAGACCAGGCAGATGTCAGGCCACAGCTGCAGAGTGAGCTGATCAGTCCCCTTCTGGTCA